ATATATATATATATATATATATCACAGAGATTGATACATAAATGTACAGTATATCTCCGTGAGTGTATATAAATATATATTTGTGTCTATAAATGTATACATACGTCCGGTGCAGTGTTTACAGTTTGTATATTTTTAGATATATTTATATGTATAAATATATCTATATTAGTGCTGGGTCCTTATCACCCTCTATGTACCAAGGTACATTTATAACAAATACCACACATATTACGGTAATTAGCATTGCATATGTGTCTGACCAACATACCTAAAAAAGCTAAAAAGCAATGATTCATTTAAATTATTGTTTGAGTTTTTAAAGTGTTTTTTTTGTAATATGTATAATAAGCATCATTTAGTTATCACTACTGAGAATTTAACAAACATAACAATATGAAGTAGATAGGTTTGCAGTTCTCAAGAAGTACATTTAAACATCATGTCTTACACACATGAATATAAAGTTGTGAATACCGGCTGAATATCTATGATCAGAATCATTATCACTGTGTTATAACTGCTACTGTGTAAAGAGAATACTGCTGCTAACAACAACCTGATGTGTTTAAAGTGTTTACAAACCAAATGCTATTGACCTTTAGTTCATACAGCAGTACTTTAAAATAAAAGTGCACAATACACTACTTTTGAATTCATTATTGAACTTTGCCAAAACAATCACGATTAATCACAAAAAATCCATGCGATTAATCGCGATTAAAAATTGTAATCGTTGCCCAGCACTAATATATATATATATGTGTATAAATATATATTTATGTGTATAAATATATAGATATGTGTGTATAAATATATAAACATTGTATAAACATAAACATACGTCCGGTGCAGCGTTTCCAGTGCGAGTGTCCAACATTCAGCAGCTCTTTGACTCCGTCGTCCATCGACTTTGTGAAGCGACTGTAGAGTTCACACTTCTGTTCACTGCACACACACACACACACACACGCACACACACACACATTAACACAAAGGTATAGTTTTTAAGTAAGGGCCCTTTAGTAACGTACACTTCAGCAGCGTCGAGTTCTGCAGCTTCAGGTTCGATCAGACTGAACATCATCGGTCCGACCGTCTCGTCTTTTTCCGCCTTCCTCTTCCCTGACTTCCACTCCTGAAACACCAACGTCAGCCAATCAGGACCAAGCTACCAAACCTCCTCGCAGCTGATTGGCTGAAACATCTACTGCAGTGTGAGAGGGGGGCGGGACTTAACCCACCTTCTCGTCTGTGTAGGTGAGGAAGAGCTGAAAGACGTCACTCTGAGAGACGACGGGGTGACGACACATCCGAGTCATCCAGGCCTGGAGCTGCTCCATCCTCATCCTGATGAAGTCCACCTGGAACCGGCCTGAAAGCACAGGTACACACTCAAACACAGGTCACAGGTCATACAGGTGTAACACCTGGTTCTACAGGTGTTACACCTGCTGGTCATACAGGTGTTACACCTGCTGGTCATACAGGTGTTACACCTGCTGGTCATACAGGTGTAACTCCTGGTTCTAGAGGTGTAACACCTGCTGCTACTACAGGTGTAAAACCTGGTCCACAGGTGTAAAACCTGCTGGTCATACAGGTGTAACACCTGGTTCTACAGGTGTAACACCTGCTGCTACTACAGGTGTAAAACCTGCTGGTCATACAGGTGTAAAACCTGCTGGTCATACAGGTGTACAACCTGCTGGTCATACAGGTGTAACACCTGCTGGTCATACAGGTGTAACACCTGCTGGTCATACAGGTGTAACTCCTGGTTCTAGAGGTGTAACCCCTGCTGCTACTACAGGTGTAAAACCTGGTCCACAGGTGTAAAACCTGCTGGTCATACAGGTGTAAAACCTTGTCCACAGGTGTAAAACCTGGTTCTACAGGTGTGGTTGTCGTGGAAACGGCTCACCTGTCACCTGCTTGTCAGGCAGCGAGGGGATTGGCAGAGCCGAGCCAAACTTCTCCATCAAACGCTCGTACAGCCAATCAAAGTGTTTGTAGCGATGATTGACAGGTCTGTTGGTCGTCTGGAAGAAGACCGTCAGTGTTACTGCGTGTACTGCTGTGTATTAGTAGTAGTAGTATCACAGTGTATTTTTCTCGGTGTATTATTGTGGTTATCGTAGTAGTACTCGTGTACTCTTACGGTGGGACTGATCTGGTACTCGATGAAGCTCTTCAGTCCGTACAGTTTGGACTCTTTCTTCGGGTCGGCGATCAAACAGTTGAGAGGAGTCGACGGGTAAAACCAGACCGGACCGACCTCGCCCATCTTTCAATAGAACTTTATTAAACGCGTCATAAAGCAACAGGAACACACATGAAATGTGACCTCTAGATATATATATATATATATATATAAGTATAAGGATCATTTAAGGACACTTTGATATGAGGACACCTGATCCAGGATTACTCACATAGACAGGAAGTAGGTCTCTGGTGTTAGCTGGAGGTTTGGCTAACAAGAAGACTTCAGGACTCGGACCTTTGGAGAACGGGAACCTGAGCACACACAAGATTACTGGGATCTACTGGGACATACTGGGACCTACTGGGATTTTCTGGACTCTACTAGAGTCTACTGGGATGCTCTGGACTCTACTAGAGTCTACTGGGATGTTCTGGACTCTACTAGAGTCTACTGGGATCGACTGTAGGGATGTTTTTTACTTGTTCAGGGAGATCTTCACGGAGGGTCGTCCTGAAGCCCCGCCCTCCTCATCCAACTGATCGTCACCATGGTAACCACCTTCTGATTGGTGGTCCCAGTCGTCGTCCCACTCGCCGTCATCGTCCTCAACAGCTGCTGGAGATGGGACACAGTTTTCTGTTGAACTGTTGGTTCATAAAGACTGCTGCAGACTATTCAAACGTGAGATACCTTGCTGTGTGCGACTGTCCCATCCTGCTGTTGGGGTACTAGCTAATGCCCCAGGTCTGGACCAGGAGTCCCCGTCTCTGTTACCGACCTGAAACACATCAACAACATGAAGGACCAAAGACCCCGACACTAAACCCGCTGGTTTCACATCTCTCTTTGTGTCCTTGTTGCGTCTCTTTTTGGATTCTTAATAAGTTCAGAATCTCTATGTCTGCAGTTCTTTACTACTAAGATAATTCAGAGTCCATGATTCTGGTAACATTAACATTAACTCACCTGTAAATATCCCTCAGGTACCAGTCCGGTTTGTCCGCTGGAGTTCTGGGCTTGGATCCAGCCTCCCCCCACAGTCTGAAACACACACATATCCGTTATGATAGAGTGTGTGTCACGTATGCTGTGTGTATTCATACATAGATGTGTATTTGTACCTGGTCCAGCACAGTGACCGACTCCCCCTGTCGGACCGACAGCTCGTTGTTTCCTGGTTCAGCTGTGAAGTCGTACAGAACTTCAGCCTGAAACAAACAAACAAACAAAGAAATGTGAAGTCATGAATGATATTAAGAGTCTTTCTTCTGTATTGTGTTTCAAACACTGAGTTCTGCAGCTTTCAGGGTTCAGGTTCTGTCGCTGAGCGTCCTCACAAGTGGAGTGAAGACCTGTGTGTGTTTGAGAGGAAAAGTCTGGTTATCAGTGAAACTACAAATTCATGAAGCGACTTCCTGTTGGAACTCTTCTGTCAACAGCTTCAGGCTCTGCCCACCAGACTCCTGGAGGATGCTTTCACATTGTTGAACGAGTTTCTGTTTCCTGTTTTCATTGCTGAAAACATCTCAACTTATATTTCCATTAAATTATATGATATAACTAGTTGTATTTATACCCCTTAAGATCTTCGTAATCATCCTACCAGACACAATTTGCTTTTTAGTTTCTGTGGTTCTTTGGTATTTATTTTTCTAAGAAAACCTTCAAACAGACGTTTGTTTTGTTTTTTGATATATTATATGGTAACCTTTCATGTTTTGACATCGGCCTGATATTCCCACCATTTCCTTGTTTTTGGTATTGTTGTTTTTTTCAATTATATTTATCATATCTCCATGACAGCCCCACCAGACTGCTGTGTAATTTGATATAATTTAGTACGTTTTCATTGTTAAACAGTCAGTGTGTGTATATATATATATACATATACTGACCCTAACCACTGACCGGCAGCGAGCGGTCGGTTCTGATGCGCAGCAGCAGGTGTGAGGTCACAGGTGAGCGGCCTTACCTTTAGAGCCATGATGACATCAGCAGCAGCTTCGTGTTCTCTTATATTTGATCAAAGTTTCATCCTGTCAGCGTCTCAGCGACCAAACCTGCAACTTCTTCTTCTGCATCAAGTCGATAACACAACACTGACACAATTTCCGGGTTCTGATTTCACAATAGGAACCCGGTGAACAATAATCCACTTTAAGATGTTTTTAACGTTTTTATAATGATTTTTTTTGTACTTCAGAAACAAATAATACATTAAACTGCAGCTAAATTATTCCTAGTTTCTCCTTTAATAGTTATTGAACAAATAATGTTTTGTTGTGTAATTTAAATTAATGATTTAAAATAAAGAAATGAAAATGCATGAAGGTGTTTATCACAGTAAAATTATTACCAAATAAAACTAAACTGGTCAACAGTTGATACGTCAATGCAAACAGTTATTTTGTTTGTTTTGATTATAGACATGCTTTTATTCTGAAGGTACATTGACCAACTTCCTGTATTTTTCCGTCTTTAGAAGATAACTTGACAGAATGTAACGTCACACATTTAGAACAGCTGAGTGGTTACGGTCGAACACGTTTCCGGTTACACACACAAGTACACTGTAAAAAATACACACAGTACTACACTGTAAAAAATACACACAGTACTATAGTTCACTGTAGAAAAAACACAATACAATGTAAAAAAAACATAATACAATACCACACTGTAAAAACATACACTATACTGCAAATCTTATAATTCACTATACTTCAAAAAGACAATAAAACATTATACTGTCAAAAATAACTTTGTATGGTTTAACATACAACACTGCTCTGAGAAAAAAATCACTAAACTGTAGAAATAAACAATAATACAATAATACACTGTAAAACATGAAACAATACAACACTATCCTGTAAAATACACTACACTGTAAAAACAGGATGTTAAATAATATTTAACCATCGTATAAAAAATACAAACTAAAGCAGTTTATTCAGAAACAGTTCTGTCGTTACCTCGTTTAATTTTGATTAATTATTAAACATTTAAATATAACCTTTTTAAAGACTGGTCTACCTGCAGTGTAGGTCTGTTAACCTCTCCGTCACTCCCCTCCAGCTCTCTGACCACTATTTCATATCCTACTCCCTCTCCTCTCCCCCTTACCTCCTCCACCTACCCACATGGTTGCTACCCGTAGTCATCTCCGCTCCCTCTCCCCGGCTGATCTTTCCTCTTCTGTTACCTCTGCTCTCCCTGACACTGAATCCTTCTCTCTCCTATCCCCTGATATTGCTACTGACCTTCTCCTCTCCACCCTTTCCTCTTCTCTGGACAACCTCTGTCCCTTCACCTCCAGGCCTGCACGGCCAACTCCACCTGCCCCATGGCTGTCGGACTCAGTGCGTACTGACAGACGGAGCCTAAGAGAGGCTGAGCGTAAATGGAGAAAAGGCAAAATCCCAGAGGACCTTCTTAACTTCCAAGCTCTTCTTTCCACGTTTTCTTCCTCTCTATCTACTGCTAAAGCTGCTTTCTTCCGCTCTAAAATCCTAACCTCTGCTTCCAATCCGAAAAATCTCTTCGAAACATTCTCTTCACTCCTCCAACCCCCTCCTCCTACTTCCTCCCTTCTCCCTGATGATTTTGCCAACTACTTTGACAAGAAGGTAAACGATATCGGATCCTCCTTCTCTCAGCCCCCCTCTCCCTGTCCACCCTCTCCCTCACTCTCTGTGTCCCTCTCTACCCTATCCAGCTCTTCCCCCACAGCTCTCCCTCCCCTCTCCTCTCCATCTTACCCTATCTTGCTCCCCTCTCCCCTAACAAGGTCCTCAACCTTGTCACATCTAACCACCCCACCACATGCTCACTTGACCCGATCCCTTCCCCTCTTCTTCAGTCTATTGCGACTGAACTCCTTCCTTTCTTCACCCACCTCATCAACACATCTCTTGTTTCAGGATGCTTTCCCACGGCTTTCAAGACTGCCAGAGTCACCCCCCTTCTGAAGAAACCATCACTTGACCCCTCTGATGTCAAGAACTTCAGACCGGTTTCTCTTCGACCCTTTCTTTCCAAAACACTTGAACGTGCTGTCTTTAACCAACTGTCTTCCTATCTTCACCAGAACAGCCTCCTGGACCCCCACCAGTCCGGGTTCAAAGTGGGTCACTCGACTGAGACAGCCCTCCTTGCGGTGACAGAGTCGCTTCATACAGCGAGAGCGAACTCTCCTCTGTCCTGATTCTCCTGGACCTGTCTGCGGTGTTTGACACGGTGAACCACCAGATCCTCCTCTCCACCCTCGAGGGGATGGGTGTCTCAGGCTCTGCACTCTCCCTGTTAGCATCCTACCTGACAGGTCGATCCTACCAGGTGACATGGAGGGGGGCCGTGTCGGAACCACGCATGCTGACTACGGGGGTTCCACAAGGCTCAGTCCTGGGCCCCCTTCTCTTCTCGCTCTACACAACATCTCTGGGTTCTGTTATTCGCTCGCATGACTTATCTTACCATTGTTATGCCGATGACACACAGCTGGTCTTGTCATTTCCCCCCGGTGACACTCAAGTGGAGGCACGCATCGCTGCGTGCTTGGCTGACATCTCGAAGTGGATGACGACACACCACCTCAAGCTCAACCTGGACAAAACCGAGCTACTGTTCCTCCCGGGGAAGGGTTGCCCGCACCGAGACCTGTCCATCACCACTGATGATACCGTGGTGACGCCAACTCGGACTGCGAGGAACCTGGGTGTGACCCTGGATGACCAACTGTCATTCTCAGCAAACTTTGCATCGGTTACATGCTCCTGCATATTCCTGCTCTACAACATCAGGAGGATTCGCCCCTTCCTCACTGACGAGACGGCGCAGGTGCTCATCCAGGCTCTTGTCATCTCCCGCCTGGACTACTGCAACTGACTACTTGCCGGAGCCCCGGCCATCAGACCTCTGGAACTTGTCCAGAAAGCTACAGCTCGCCTGGTGTTCAATTGCCCCAAGTTCTCCCACACAACTTCCTTTCTCTGTTCTCTACACTGGCTCCCTGTAAGAGCTCACATCCAGTTTAAGACTCTGGTGCTAGCCTACAGGGCAGTGAAAGGAACAGCTCCTTCCTATCTCCAGACCATGGTCAAGCCCTACACCCCCGCCCGACCACTTCGCTCTGCTGCCTCGGGGCGATCGGTTGCCCCGTCGCTCAGAGGTCCCTGCGGCTGTTCGACCCGGTCACGTCTGTTTTCTGTCCTGGCCCCACAGTGGTGGAATGAACTCCCCACTGACGTCAGGACAGGTGGGAAAGGCATCTGTGTAGCAGGTAGATGACAGCGTCATCCACCCCGATGCCAGATTGGTAGTGAACTGTAGTGGGTCCAAAGATGAGCTCACCAGGGCGCAGAGATGTACAAGGACCAGCCTCTCTAGCGTCTTCATCAGGTGGGATGTTAACGCCACCGGCCTGAAGCTGTTGAAGTCCTTGGTTCACGGGGTCTTTGGGACCGGTACCAAGCAGGATGTTTTCCACAGCTGTGGTACTCTGCCCAGCTTCAAGCTCAAGTTGAAGACGTGCTCCACTATCCCGCACAGCTGGCCTGCACTGGACCTGAAGACCCTTGAGCTGATGCCGTCTGGACCCGTGGCCTTTCTCCCCTTGATCCTTCTCAGTTCTTTTCTCACCTGGTAAGTTGTGAAGGACAAGCTGGGGGGTGGGGGGGAAGCCGAGTGTTGTGGGGAAGGGGGTGGAGGAGGGGGGGCAATCTACAGGGGGTGCAGCCAAAGGAGGTTGGAGCAGCAGGGGGGACTGGATGGGGGGAGGGGGTGATGACTGATCAAATCTGTTAAAGAGTAAGTTCAGGTCATTCTCCCACTCTTGTCCCCGTAGGCTGTTGGTTGGGCCCCTTGTAGCCAGACATCTCCTTGAGGCCCTTCCAGACCCTGCAGATGTTGTTCTGCTGCAGCTGGTCCTCCATCTTTGTAGATTTTTTTCCCTTTCCTGATCTTCCTCCTCAGCTCCCTCTGTGCAGTCTTCAGCTCCTCCTTGTTTCCTGATCTAAAGATCTACCTGTCTACCTGCAGTGTAGGTCTACCTGTCTACCTGCAGTGAGTGTATGAATGAAAGCCACTCAGGTACGCTGCTGTGTTCTCTTTATATCATGTGATCCTTTTACTTTTATAATTATGAGTTTAAAAAAAGTACTTTCTGTCTGAACACACCATTTACAATAACCAATCAATCAATCAAAGAGCGTTTCCAGTTTGTCTCCATTTATTGATTTAATTCACAGACAAAAGTTAAAGAGCTTCAGATCGTTTACATCTCAAGTCACAGAAGAACGTTTCAGTTACATTTTATTTTGAAGGCCGTGTAGTTAGAGGTTCAGTTTCCTGTAAAACAGCTGATACAAATAGTGTGTTACTATGGTTTCATCAATCTTTTAATAATCAATCAATCAATCAATCAATCAGCAGGAAAATATTTCTTTACACATAAATATTGATCTGTGATAAGCGTTCAGTACGAATGTATTGATCAGAAGACTGAATGTATTGATCAGATCGAATGTATTGATCAGACGACTGAATGTATTGATCAGAAGACTGAATGTATTGATCAGACTGAAGATATTGATCAGACGACTGAATGTATTGATCAGACTGAATATATTGATGAGACGACTGAATGTATTGATCAGAAGACTGAATGTATTGATCAGATTGAGTATATTGATCAGACTGTTAAAGAAGCTCTTGTTACATGTTTCAGCCACAGGGGGCGCCGTAGAGCTGCAGCACTCTTCAGTGGATGCACCACCACATGACTGCCGCTGAGGTCAGCAGACCAATCACAGAGCTCGCTGCAGAGGAGGGGGCGGAGTTACACAGGCCAGAGTTGCAGCACTTGAAGGTGAAACTGGAAACCTGTAAAGATCGATACAGTTGTTGATCAGAGACGTTATTCCCACCAGACTCCTAAAGAATGTTAAAATATTTTTCAGCGGCACGTTTCTGGACATGGAGTCCAGGACCACCTAAGTCCAGGACCACCTGAGTCCAGGTGCACCTGTGAGGTCATCACCTGAGTGAATGACCTGAAGTCTACAGGAACTTTATCTTCATGAAGAACTTCCAACAGGTGAGTCTCTGTGCTCACAGCTGTGGTTGCAATGGTTTGTAAGAGTAGAGTAGAATATAGTAGAATAAAGAAGAGTAGTTGTTACCTGGGGGAACATCTGGGCCAGGCGGCCATACTCACAGTCTGAATACTTCAGACACTGACGGTAAGTCATTCCACCTGCAGAACAATAGAAACAGTAGAATCTCAGTAGAATATCTGAGTTAGTTCAAAGCTGATCTGGTTTCTTCAGGATCCCGAGGACATGAATGTACAAGTAGAGGGACAGGTGTACAGGTAGAGGTCTAGGTACAGGTTTAGGTAGAGGTACAGGTGTACAGTACAGGTATAGGTACAGGTACAGGTATAGGTACAGGTAGATGTACAGGTCTAGGTAGAGGTACAGGTGTACAGGTGTAGAGGTACCTCTCTCGCTGAGTGTGAGACAGGCGTCGTCATAGCTACACTCTCTCTGCTTGGAGCAGCTGGCTGTGTAGTCCTTACAGCTGAAGCAGCGGATGGCTGATCCTGAAACAGAGAACTACACTTCAGGACTGTGAGGGACCTGGTCCTGGTTTTATGATCCATGTTTATCTCAGACATGAAACAGTGAAGTCAGTGGGAACAAAACAGAGAAACCTTGTCTATCCTGTGTGTGTTTATTATGTCAGTAATTTAAGAACAATTCTGTATTTAGTGACGATATGAAACAAGATGGTAATAAAAACATGACTGATTATTGATTTCAGAATATGAATATTATATAATATATTACATAAATCATTTATCTTTAGATAATAATCAGATAAATGTTCAACACAGTCGAGTTCGTCTTTACAAGATCCTTCATGCTTTTAAAACCTTTTTGAACCCAGTTTACCACAAATGATATATATTTTATAATGACTCGATGAGATATCTGTCTTTCTATCTGTTTAGAATTTAAATTGTTGATTCTTTAAATTCAGATGTATTTTCTGGATCAGAATCAATGTGACTGAAACCAGTTTCATAGCTAGTTTAAATAAAATAATAAAAAAGATGGAATCTACATTGAGATCAAACGTACCCAGTCCGATCAGAGCGGAGCAGAACACCAGACAGATCCCCAGGGAGCACTTCATTTTCACCTCAGCAAAGCTCACACATCTGAATGTGAGAGTCCACAGCAGCACATTCATCCATGAGGAGACAAAGACATCAACAAAGTGTAAATAACAGTGTTCAGTACTGAGTGTACTGTGTGTACTCACCCAGCAGCAGCAGTAAAAGGAATACTCGTGTTCAGCAGTACTTTGGTTCTTGTTGATGTTGAGCAGGGCACAGACAGAGTAAAGACTCAGACTTTGACTGACAGCTGAGTGGAGTTGAGAGGCCACGCCCCCTGGGAGGAGCCTGTAGATACACTTTAGAAAAACTTTGATTGTTTTCTGTTCTTACTTTGATTCTCATCAGTTTGAATATAGGATGTATATGTATACGTATAGATATACTCATACTTATACAAATACATATACTTATACATACTTATACATATATAAACTAATATACATATACATAAACTTGTGCTTATACTTATGCTTATACTTTTACATATACAAATACTTATATCTATACTTTTACTCATACTCATACTTATGCTTGTACTTATACATACACATAAACCTATACTCATACTCATACATATACTTGTACTCATACTTACATATACATAGTCAGGTTAGTGTCAGGCCACAGTGGAATCCTCCAGATCATCTGTATCTTTTAGTCCTTTTGCATCTTTCTTAACATCATTTTATGAAGGTTTTGTGTCTCTTTCTGGTTGTTTTCTTTGTCTTTGTGGGGGTTTAGTGTCTATGTGGTTGTTGTCTGTCTCTTTGGGGTTGTTTTCTGTCTCGTTGTGGTGGTTTAGTGTCTCTTTGTGTCTTTGGGGTTTCTGTTTGTCTCTTTGTGGTGGTTTAGTGTCTCTTTGTGGTTGTTGTCTGTCTCTTTGTGGGGGTTTAGTGTCTCTTTGTGTCTTTGGGGTTGTTTTCTGTCTCTTTGTGGGGTTTAGTGTCTCTTTGTGTCTTTGGGTTTGTTTTCTGTCTCTTTGTGGTGGTTTAGTGTCTCTTTGTGTCTTTGGGGTTGCTGTTTCTCTCTTTGTGGTGGTTTAGTGTCTCTTTCTCTGTTTGTGGTTGTTTTCTGTCTCTTTGTGGTGGTTTGCATCCTCTTGTGTCCCCCTGTACCTGACTCTCTCTGACTCTCTGACTGACCATCATCACATCACAAAACCTCGGTGGTGGTGATGATGATGATGGTGGAAGAGAGGCTCTGTGTTGTGGTGTTTATCTCAGTGCAGAAGAAGAAAAGCTGCAGTGTTTTGTCCTGGAACGACCCAGAAACAAAGAGAGCTCAGAGACAAACAATCAGCTTCAGTCTGAATGAAGACAAAGCGCAGAGGAGGTCAGAGACACGAGGACAGAGGACACGAGGACAGAGGACGTATTCAGGCTGCAGCACAGCGGCCGCATTCAAACACCATCATCATCATCATCACACCACTCTCATCAAACATTCATTTAAAGCTCAGCTAACTTCCTCTGAAGAAACGCAGCACTGTAAAAACACCAAAATAATAATGAATAAACAGAGGTCAAAGGTCATCAACTCAGTTTAATGTAATGACATTTTAAATAGGAAGTTGTTTGTCTCTTTGTTTGTTGTTTTTGTCTTTTTGTTGTTTGTGTCTTTATTGTTGTTATTTGTGTCTTTTTGTTGTTGTTTGTGTCTTTATTGTTGTATTTTGTGTCCCTTTGTTGTTGTTTGTTGTTGCTTGTGGCTCCTCCTCTGACATAACATTAATAATAACAGGATGTTTCATTACATTTTCAGTCGAGGTGATGAAGCTGCTTTCTGAAGAAAAACCGAGTTCAATGAACAGTCAGTTAGTGAGTGATGTCATCGCTCTGCGAGCTGTTGATCGGTCCACAGACAGCAGGTGAGCGGGCTGACAGGTGAGAAGCAGCTGTGATGATAAATGAAACCTTCATCAATAATTCATCATCTTCACTTTGTGTCTTTAACAGAAGAACAAGTTTGTTTTTAGACTCCGGACAACTGAACGTGAGTTTATTTCTATTGTAGTCTCTAGTATTCTGTAGTATTCTGTAGTAGTCTGTAGTAGTCTTTAGTATTCTGTAGTATTCTCTAGTATTCTGTAGTATTCTCTAGTATTCTGTAGTAGTCTTTAGTATTCTGGAGTATTATCTGGTATTGTTTGTGTTCTTTGGTATTCTCTAGTATTTTTTAGTGTTCTCTAGTATTCTTTAGTGTTCTCTAGTATTATCTAGTATTATCTAGTGTTCTCTAGTATTCTTTAGTGTTCTCTAGTATTATCTAGTGTTCTCTAGTATTCTTTAGTGTTCTCTAGTATTCTTTAGTGTTCTCTAGTATTATCTAGTATTCTCTAGTATTCTTTAGTGTTCTCTAGTATTCTCTAGTATTATCTAGTATTCTTTAGTATTATCTAGTATTCTTTAGTGTTCTCGAGTATTATCTATTATTCTTCAGTGTTATCTAGTATTCTCTAGTATTCTTTAGTATTCTCTAGTGTTATCTAGTATTCTCTAGTATTCTTTAGTGTTCTCTAGTATTATCTAGTATTATCTAGTATTCTTTTGTATTATCTAGTATTCTCTAGTATTCTTTAGTGTTATCTAGTATTATCTAGTATTCTCTAGTATTCTTTAGTATTCTTTAGTATTATCTAGTATTCTTTAGTGTTCTCTAGTATTATCTAGTATTCTCTAGTATTATCTAGTATTGTTTAGTGTTCTCCAGTATTCTGTAGTAATAATACTTTATGTAATATTATTTCATAATGTTATTAATTGTCCTGATTACTTTATGTTTTCAGGTGACGTCATCATGGATCTGGACAGCATCGGTAAACTCGTCTCTTTTGTGATTTTGGGTTAAAATAATCAGCTGAAAAAGAAATTAAATCTGTCTCACATGTTTTTATTTATTGACACATATTATTATTTGTTTACTAAATGTTTATTGATGTTTACATTGATGTTTATTCAGAAGGACTGAATGAAATCCGTCCTTCGGTCTACAGAGTCGCCATGAAGCTTCTGTCTCTGCAGAGACTCTGTCACAGTGAGTACACAGTATTATACTACATGTATTATGTATTATACTACATACTGTACATGTACTACATGAAGCTTCTGTCTCTGCAGAGACTCTGTCACAGTGAGTACACAGTATTATACTACATGTATTATGTACTTTACTTGTAGTACATGTATATATGTGTGTGTTGGGTTCCAGTGGACGTGGTGTCTTTTCGACACATCACTGCAGCCCTCCACTCAATAGGCGAAGCTATGCTGCAGCAGGAAGTAGGGTTAAACAGACAGGAAGTGACCAGGACCCTGAACAGGATGTTCCACAGCGTGTCACAGGAAGTGCCGGGTCATGTGACTGTGGAAGCTCCAGAGGAGCTCTGCAGTCTGATGTTCAGGCTCAACGACCGGTCAGACTGTATTTTATTATCATTATTATTATTATTTATATAAATCTATATAAAACATTGTTTCTCTTCTAGGAGTCAGTCTGGTTTCATATCAACTGTTTCTCTTCAAACTTCTCTCATCGCTCTGTCAGCTGAAACTCTGCTGGTTAAATACAGAGGTGAGAACCTGTCTGTCTGTCTGTCTGTGTGTCTCTCTCTGTCTGTCTGTCTGTCTCTCTCTCTCTCTCTGTCTTCCATTTCAGAACACTGCTTCCTTCAGAATAAAAGTCAGATGTTCTGTCTGTAGTTAAGAACACTGCTTCCTTCAGAATAAAAGTCCGATGTTCTGTCTGTAGTTAAGAACACTGCTTCCTTCAGAATAAAAGTCTGATGTTCTGTCTGTAGTTAAGAACACTGCTTCCTTCAGAATAAAAGCCTTATGTTCTGCAGCTCTGGTGAAGCTCTCAGAGAACAGTTCAGGATCAGTCAGCAGATCTGGACTCAGATCTTTGCTGCAGGACCTCAGCCAGGTAAAAACATCACACACTACATTTCCCAGCATGCCCCTCTCTACTCCCTCTGACACCTGTGGTGTGTTCAGGTTCCTGTGGCGGTGCAGGAGGACGGAGTGTTCGGAGGTGTGGAGGCTGCAGTGAGGTCGTGTTTTAATGGGGTGAGAAAACGAGCGGCTTCAGGTGATTAGTGGTCGTCATGGCAACACATTTACCTGTGTGACCTTACAGGTCTTGACCCCGATGGCAGGTGAAGAACACGTGTTGTCATGGCTGCAGAGCGAGCCACTCTTGTTGCTATGGTTACCCACTCTGTACCGCCTGTCCGTCAGTCAGAACGTCCGTCATGCCGTCCGCTGCCACACCTGTAAGACCCTCCCCATCACCGGACTCAGGTGAGCCAGCACCGTCCAATCAGAACGCTTCATTCACAGTTAAATAAACATCATAATAAATATCATGTGTGTATGTTCAGGTATCGCTGCATGAAGTGTGTGAAAGTCCACGTGTGTCAGAGCTGCTTCCTGACAGACAGACAGACGAGGAAACACAAAACTCACCATCCAGTGCTCGAGTTCTGCACACAGGTAACAACACACACGCAGGTAACAGCATACACAGGTAACAGCATACAGGTAACTACACACACAGGTAACAACACACACAGGTTACAGCATACAGGTAACAACACACAGGTAACAACACACACAGGTTACAGCATACAGGTAACAAAACACACACAGGTAACAACACACACAGGTTACAGCATACAGGTAACAAAACACACACAGGTAACAACACACAGGTACAGACAGACAGGTACAGAAAGCTTTAGTTGTTAATCCTCAGTTTGTCTGTCAGCCCACCTGGAGAGAGTCTCTGTCCTTGTTAGTGCACAGTGCTCGTCACGCCCTGTTCCCATGGCGTTACACTCAGAGAGAGGCCCACAGTAGGAGGGGCCTGATGTGGGTGGAGCCAGGGGAGACTCCAGACAGGTGAGACAGGTGTGACAGGTGTGAGTTCAAACTTCAGCCCTCCCTTTTAAGACCTGTTTTAATAGTTATTTTTCTCAGTGCTCCGCCCCCCTCTGATGCCTCAACACGATTGGCTGCCTCAGCTGTCAGTCACAGTCCCTCCTCTGACAAAGACACGCCCACTCAGCAGGTGACCTCTGATGACCTGTGGGCTGTTATTAGCTGATATTCATGTTGTTTTTATAATAATAATCCTAATAATAACTTTTATGTGTTGTTGTTGATCAGCTGAAGGCGTCCGTTCTGCTGACTGAGGTCAGAAACCTGCAGAGAGACAAATGGTGAGAAACCACAATGAAACCCACCTCCTCTTCCTCCTCCTACTCCTACTCCTTTCCACCTCCTTCACCTTCTTCTTCTTTGTTTGTCTTCAGGCTGATGGAGCAGGAGCTGCAGGTTTGGAGGCTCACCATCCAATCAGAACAGAGCATCCTGGAGAACAGGTGCTCTGAGATGGAGGATACCATGGAAACGCTGAGAGAACACAACCTCCGTCTGCAGCAATCACTCCCACAGGTAACAACACACAGGTAACAGCACACAGGTAACAACACACAGGTAGATACACACAGGTAACAACAC